AAACTGAAATTCCAACCTAGGACACCTGATTTCTGGGTCTTCGTTTTCTAGGAACAAGATTAGCTCTAATACCTCACTCAGATGAGCTATGGCATAGACAAACAATATTATGGGACTACTATAGGGTTCTAGCTGCTCTATATCTTCTGTCTTTGTTAATTTGAGGGAATGTTAGGCATAATTGACTGAAAGGCCAGTTCTGTTTTACAGAAACAGCCAATTACTTAAATGGGTATCTGTGCCTGTAATAATTTTGGGTGAAAATACATAAATAAAATTTTTTTTAAAAGTCGGTGAAAGCCATGGATATCACTTGAAGGGTGAGTCTTATAGTGGTTTAAAAAAAAGTCGGGGGAGGTAGTGCATACCTGCAATCCCAGCACTTGGGAAGCTGAGGCAAGAGGATCTCAACAGTCTTTGAGTCTAACCTGGACTACATAGTGAGTTCAAGGCCAGTGTGAACTACATAGTGAGACCTTGCCTCTCTCTCTCTCTCTCTCAAAAAAAAAAAAAAAAAATTCACAGGTCAGTATCTGCAATCCCATTTGTTGTTCAGAAGATATCTGAATTGGTTTGGATGAAGCTGTTGGCTTTCTTCACAAACTTTCTTCCTACCTCAATGCTTTCCTTGGGTTTCCCTTTCCATCCATTCCTGTCCTGGACTCAGACAGTGACACTTTCTCCTCCCAATTCCTTATGGGTGTGGGTGTCAGATGACACTATTCTAATGTTAGAAATGAGTTTCTGGGACTCACTTTTAGACATGTGCCCACCACAGTCCAGCAGCGAAGGCATGGAGAAAAGTCAGGAGAGGAATTGGGCCTGAAGTGGAGCCAGTTAACACTGATGGAGAGCCAGGCCTAGGTTTTATGCTCATTACTGAGAAGGTCTCACAGCGCAGACTGAAACAACTTAGGCCACCCACATCCTCCCATCTCCTAAATCCAGAGTACAGCAGTCCCTGGGCTGGCCTGAAGACTGGCTTGAGCTAGGAAGAGATGAAAGCCAAATCGAACGGGAGAACTGACTTCTCTTTGAAGTTAATGTGATTCAGCCAATTCTAGGATTTAAACTCAGGCTTGCTGAGCCTCACATTCAGGTCTTCAGGAAGATTCTCTCTCTCAGGGATATTATTTTTGGGCAGCAAAACTGCTAATAATTCTATTTTAGTGGAGTTGCTAAGTACTTGGCTCCTGCTACTTTTTGCCCTGAGCAGCAGGAGGGAAAGGGCAGAAATCAGGCATTTACTTTCTTTCTGTAGATTCTGCCAGGCTGCTTTAGCTCATACCACCTCTCACCCTATGCATACACACCCTTGCACAAGGTAAATGTTTGTGCAGGTTTTCATATACAGTCCAGTCATTGTATGAAGTGTGTCCTAAAGTTCTACATTTGCTCAAGGAAACAAGGAAGTTTTGTTGGGAAACTTTCTTAGGCTCTTGTTTACATCTCAAACTGGACTTGTGGGTGCCTTTTGTTGTGGTGGTTGTTTGTCTAACAATGTGCACATTACCTTGGATTTCTGGTGCCTCATTTTAAATGCAGGGTTGTTCAACACCCACCCTTATGATATAGGGGGAATAGAAGTAACTTCCAAACCTGCTAGATATCTAAAACTTGAGTTCATGTTCTCTAAAATTGAAAGAACAAGGGGATTGTGAAGGAAAAATTTATTGAAAGATGGCTTTTGTCTAACAGAGAAAGAAGAGGGACTGGAAAATGGGTTGTCAGCCCACCCCATTTTTCAAAGATGGTTTATATGGCAGAGCCATGAGGTGTGGTGGGTGCAATGTGGGACAAAACTGGGGATTTAGCTCAGTGGCATTGTGCCTGCCTCCAAGCCCAAGGTATTCAGTTTGATGGGAGCGGGGGGATTCGCAAAGTGGGACAAAACTGTAAGACCCAATGGAAAATTACATGGTGGGCGTGAGGTTGGACAAAACCATGACCAACCAATAATATTGTAAGTACAATCGCTCAGGTAATATTGATTAAATGGGGATCAAATGGGGAAACATACAAGTCACATACAAGGGGTTTCCCATTTAGAATAACAATCACTGTTATATATCTCTAGGGGAAGTAGCACCTCTTTTCTTCTTTATAATATTAGCCAGTAAATGTGCCTTAATTATTCTCATGTTGGCTCCTTGAGGGCTGGCACCTTGAGAGTGTCCCTAACAGCCTACAAAATATTTAATTAACTTACTGTTTACATTACTTAGAATATATTTCTTTTTTAATTAAGTTTAATGGAGGGGCCAGGAATTTAGCTCAGTGGTTCTGTTGCCTGCCTCGCAAGCGTGAGGTCCCGAGTTCAATCCCTGGTACCAAAAAAAAAAAAAAAAAAATTGTTCATTGGTATATTTTAGGTATGCAATACAGTTACATTCATCATTGGAATCTTGTACCTTTACATGAGTATCTTGGTTCTTATGTTTTCCCCATTCCCCTGCCCTCCCTTCATCCCCTCCACCCTTCCCTATTTACAAAAACTTTGTTTCCATTTTTTCCTTTTTTCATGTTTTTTCTTTTCCCTTCTTTCATTTCTCCTATCCCTCCCACATCCCCTACTCTTTTAGCCCTTTTCTTCCTATTTCAATTATCAATTACACATTTCAATCCTTATTCAGATTTTTAGTTTTTTTCACACCAGAGAAACTATTCGGTATTTACATATTTGTCCTATTTATTTCACTTAAGAGTTTGTATGGCCTCAATGTGCATCCTAGAATATATTTCTATTCTTTCTCCCATCAGTGGTACAAATTTGCCTCTCAATTTAGGTTGATTCACCTGTTCTGTGCTGCAATCGCTCTGAGAAAGGCCAACTTTTCAGCATTTTTTGGGGGGTGGGCCAAAATGCACAGAAACATTCTTTTCAGGAATGTGATATTGGCAAGGGGGCTTGCAAATTCCTTACAGACTTCAGGAGACCATAATCACAGGCAGCAGGCAAGTGGGAACACATCTGCTGGCTTGAAATTCTGGAGGCAAATTCTCATCCCAAACCAGGAAAGCCGGTTTTCTGATTACAGACTCATGGAGCCCAGAAGCTACAAGCACTGGGTAGGCATAGAGAAGCATGTGGAAATCCATGTGCTTAAACCAAAAGCAAAAGTAACATCTGTGATTTATTTCTCATTTTTCCTCATCATCTGTCAGGCAGGCCTATCAGTTTTACCTTCAAAGCTGATCTCAATGTTATTCACATCTCTCAACCTTCACTATGGTCACCTTAGCCAAGCCTCTGTCCTCTCGGCACATGGCCAACCTGACTAGTTTTTATGGTTTTTCTTTTCCTGCTTTCAGATTGGTTCTCCATGCAGAAGACAGATTCCCTTTCAAAATTACAAATTAGACCCTATTATTGTTGCTAGAAGGCCGAAGCCCAAGGTTTTCAGGTTCCGACCTCTTCCCCATCTTCTCCTTTCACTCTCCAGCCTTACGGCTCCAGGCACAGGGCTTCCACTTCACTCCTGCCAGGTATTTCAATGCCTCCAGCTTCCACTCTTACCCTTCCTTTACCTGGAAGGCTCTCCTCTGCTTCTTCACAGACCTGATCCACTTTGATTTCACAGGTATCTACCTCTTGCTGTTTCCACATGTTGTAGGATGCCACACCAAAAAACAGTAATATTCCCGTCCCTCCTTCTAGTTGCTACCTCATTATTTTACACCTTTTCTAGTATATATAGTCTCCAAAACTTACCTTATTAACCTGCTCACTAACTAATCAGCATATTCCCACAAGTAGGATGATAAGAAAAGTTTCTTGGTTGATCTGTGCTGCCCAGTACGACCTCTACTAGAGCTACATGTGGCTACTGAGAACTTGAAATGTGGCCAGTTTGAACTGAGATGTGCTTTAAGAATAAATTCACTTGAGGCCAGGGATTTAACTTAGTGGTGCTGCCACCTGCCTTGCAAGTGAAAGGTCCCAAGTTGGATCCCAGTAGAAAAAAAAAAACAACACAGCATAAAAAAATAATAAAAATGTTAAATTTTCATGTGGATACTAAAGATTTTAATAGATTGATTGCAATCCTAAGGATTAAACCCAGGGCCTTCTCTCTGGGCTACATATCCACCCCTTTGTTATTAGTATTATTATTATTTTAAATTTTTGAGAGAGTCCTACTAAACTGATAAATTGCCCAGGCAGGGCTGGAATTTGCAGTCCTCCTGCTTCAGCCTTGGAGAGTGCTGGGATTGCAGACCAGCACCACCAGGCCTGGTTTAGAGATTTTAAATTACATACATGGTTCACCTTATATTTGCCAGGATTAATCTGAGTCCTTATAACTCTCCAGCTGCATTTTAAATTCTTGTTTACAAATTAATACTTTCCTTGCTTCTACTTTCCCTTTGAAATTTCCCAAACTTATAAGTGGCTTCTAGAATTGTCAAACTGTTCTTCATTTCCTTGGTCCATCTGTTTTGAATTAGGAGAAAGACAAGAAAATCTCAATACCATCACCATCACTATCAGTAAAAGAAATCCCCAGAGCCCTCCTGCGAGGTGGGTGACTGGGTGGGAAGGAGGGAGGAGGCAGTTGCAGCAGCAGACCTCTCCTTAGCCCCAGGAGGCGACAGCATGAGCTTTCCCTGGCACCACCCTGACCCAGCAGTGAATCACAAGTAAGTACAAGGCAGAAAGTGGCCAGACCTGGGCTCAGCCAGTGCTGGCCAGGACTCCCTGCCAGGTGAGTGGAAGAGCAGGGGGGATGTCTCTCTCAGACCCAGCTCCCTGGACACTTCTTTCTGTGTGTTTGGCGGGAAGGGCCGCGGGGAAGGGATTGCTAGAACGAGAATCAACTTGTGATGTGGGGGAAGGAAAATAACCAAAAGGCCTGGAAAAGGCCTGGGCTTTCTTTCCTAGCTCTTCTTTAAAGGCCTCTAGAGGTTGGGGGATTTAGATAAGTGATTCCACTGCCTGCTTCACAAGCATAAAGTCCCAAGTTGGATCCCCGGTACCAAAAAAGAAAAAAGACTCAATTCAATAGTGGACAAAAGACTTGTATCGAATTTTCCTTATGAGGCAGGGGCCATGCTAATCTTCTCTGTATCATTCCAATTTTAGTACATGTGCTGCCAAACGAGTACTCGAATTTTCTTTATTGGGAAGCACGAGACAGACTTTTTTTGGTGTTTTGAGTCAGGGTCTCACTATGTGGTGTAGGCTGGCCTTGCACTCATTATGTAGCTCAGGCCAGCCTTGAATTCATGGCAATGGACTTCACGGCTTTTAACTCAGCCTCCCAAGTGCTCGGATCATAGTCATGCATTACTATGAGTGGCTTCTTTCAGTGATTTTATTATTTTTTGGGGGTGGGGGTGGGGTGGGTTTTGGGACAGGGTCTCACTATGTAGTTGAGACTGATGTGGAACTCACTGTGTAGCCCAGGCTGGTCTCAAACTCTCAGTGATCCTCCTGCCTCAGCCTCCCAAGTGCTGGGATTACAGGTGTGTGCCACCACACCCAGCTCTTTCAGTGATTTTAGAGTTCTTAAAGCATTCTGGGTCTGCTCAGGCATGGAGAACTAGCATTTGGGAAGCTGAGGCAGGAAGAGTATAGTGAGTTCAAGGCTGGCCTGGGCTATATAGTAAATTCATATTCAACCAGAAGTTGAATAGCAACAACCTGTCTCAAAAAACAAAACAAAAAAAATTATTTTGAGATAAAATGTCCCTAAATTACCCTGTCTGGCAATCTTCCTGGCTCAGCTTTCTGAGTAGCTGGGTTTATAAGTGGGTGCCACAATACACAGCTTCAGTATTTTTCTTTTAAATAGTTATGTTTGTGTATTGTTCTATGCGTGATCCTTGCCTATTCCAAAGTGATGAAGATTTTCTGGATATTCTACTATAAACTATCATAAAAGAGAATATTCAGATGGTTAATAAACATGTGAAAAGATTATTTACTTTGTTATTCATCAGGAAAATTCAAGTGAAAACTCTACCAAGGTACTGCTACACCAGAAGAGCTAAAAATTAATTAATTAATTAAGTAATTCAACAAAAATTTACAACATCAAGTGTTGGAGAGCAACTAGAACTCACGGTCTCTTGGTGGGTGGGTAAATTAAAACAATCAAATGGTACTGGAAAACATTTTATCCTATGACCTAGAACGTTCACACAACAGAATGTATATGTGTAAATATATATT